TGAGAGAATAAACACTCCCGTGGGTGGGGGGGGGGGGGGGGGTGATGCCATCAGCAAAACAGCATTGTCATGATGTAATTTTACTGCAACTTCATAGTTCAGACTTCAAATTGCATCCTTTGAATGCAAGCCATTGAGATTAATGGAAAGGTTAATTGACTTTTTTCTCTGGGTATTATAAACCTTTTTGTGTTTATACTTAAAGAAATTGCCAGTGGGGTTAGAAAAATAAACTTTATTAAAGACATATTCTCTAAAAAATAATTGATACATTTATCTTGTTTTAAGCATGTTATGATATTTAATAGATACTGATAAAGAACATTTTTGCTGTCTTTGATACTGCAAGGTGTGAGAAGAGAAAGGAACAGCTGAAGGAAAGAGTGAGAGCAGAGGGCGGGTGAAATATTTCAGATAGACTTCTGAGTGAGTTCTGTAGGGGAAAGGTGTGTTTGGAGAACAGACAGAGGGGAGCTTTGTGTACCTCTCTCAGACAGGTCAGCTCTCTCTCTCTCTCTCTCTCTCTCTCTCTCCCAGCCTTCCTTCTTTCCCTCGTTCTTTCATTCTGGGTGCACAGAGCTCCTTTGCAGGCCGTATATGATGCTATCACTACTGTGCTGTGTTCTGCTGCTCTTTCTGAGTCAGGTAAGAGCCACCAATTCCATTCTCTCTTAACAGTCAAAGCTTGACTATAACCAATAGCATCATTGTCTGCCCATAACCCATATAACTGCCTAGCTGGCCTGAAAGTTAAACCTTGGCTTTGAGGTTCTATACTTTTTGGGATGTTAACTGTACATTGATGGCATGCATCTGTAATTGTAGTTGATTGCTTATTAATATTAGCACGTAAAGACCCCATAAAATCAGAAAACTTTTTAGTTCACATCAAAGCTGTGCTGGTGTTCTTGTCTTTTAGAAGAACTTTTTAGAAGATGTCAAAGTGCTTATGACAGGTCAGGTTCCGAGTGATGTAATGGCAGATTGTCTGCTGTTTAAAACCTTGAGATGATGTGGCCTGAGAAATGGCATTTTAATAAAACATCTCTTTAAAGCGAAACCTCCTCAGAGATGTTTACAAGATATTCATGAGTTTGCATTGGCATGTAGGTTCCTATTGTTATTTCGGTTTCACAAAATGAGCTCATTCTGTAAACCTTGACAGAAAGACTTCAGATTTTTGTTTTGACCTCTGGTGACCCTGGAAGTACTTGTGTGAAAGAGAGGGGCCTGCAGTGAACCCTACGGTACAGAAATGATATAGCTCATATGATAAACACAACTAATCTACAAAATAAATCATGTCTTTTAATATTCAAAATACAGCTTTTAAACTGTTACTATAATTACTAAAAAATAGTAGTAACAATATGTTAGTACATTTATTATGTTTCTGCTTACTATCTGGTTAACTAAATTATTGTCATTTGCACTGATGTTTATAACACATGACTGACTGTGTAGATTTTTTCTCATCTGGGGGCTGTTTCATAAAACAAGTTTCCCAAATAAGCCAGGTTTATTTATTGTCAGTTGATTTGGTTCAAAATAAGTCAGACTAATTGAAATAAGCCTGGCTTATTTGGTAAACTTGCCCCTGGTTTGTAATATTTAATACTGAATCACCCTTACACTTTGGCAAGGCTTTTGGAGGTAATTTACCCAAGTGAAAGTAAAAAAAGATCACCTGAAGAAAGTAAACTGATATGCTCATGTGGTACTTAAAAGCAAGAAAATGAAAGACGGGGGGTGCATACAGTATATGGGCTATTTATTTGCTGCCTGCAGAGCGTCAACACTATAAATGCAGCTGGGTCTGTTGATGTTTTTCTTCCATAAGGCGCTTAAACAGAAGTGCAGTCAGTAGAGCTGTGTGAAGGGGACGCTTGTTGGCATCAGGGTTGGATTTTGCCTCTGCCAAGCTTTGCATGTGGATTTGCTGCTAAACTCACTGAAAGAGCCAGAGAATTATAGTAACACAGTGCTTAAAGTGAAAGGTGGGAAGGAGGAGAGTGGGAATAGAGGAGGGGTTCTTTATCACACAATATTAACAACTAATATAAACAAATCTAATTGGTTATAATCTTAGAGAACAATTCTCACTATTAACTAGTTGCTTATTAGCAAGCATATTACTTGCATAATGGCTGTGTATTAGTACTTATAAAGCACATTTTAATGTCTTATTCTGCACATATTTTAGATCCCCATACCTAAACTTAACAACTACTTTACTAACTATTAATAAGAAGCAAATTAAGAGTTTATTGAGGCAACATTCGTAGTTAATATTTAGTTACAATTGTAAGAATTGGTCCCCAAACTAAAGTGTGACTAAAAACATTCTTGAGCTGTTGGTCAGTAATTACAAAACCCGAGGAAGCACATTTAAAATGCAATCCATATCCTCATCCCTTTAGGAGCAGTCTATAAACCAATGACACACATCAGTTTAAAAGGATGGTTAATGTACATTTTGTCATCATTTACTCAACCTCATTTCATTCTAAACATGTATGAATTTGTGGTTTATTCTTCTGTGAATCTGAGTAATGCGTTGTGTCATCATGTTCATGATCAGATGTAGGCCTACCACTAATGCCATCGTTTGCATATATTTTTAGTTTGAAGAAGATGCAATGGAATATGTCTTGAATAAATGGTGCCAGTTCATGTTTAAAGCAATAGAGTAGATGAATTATGTGCATCTAAAATGGATACCTCAAAAGACCTCAAATTTGGTTGTTGGCTCAACTTTGATTGTTGAATGGGAAAAATGAAACGGCTTAAACATACTTTATCAGTAGAAGTCTATATCAAATGTATAACCTACCCTGAAAGCAGTGACAAGGCCATATAATGGGCAGGGTGGCACTGGCCCACCCAGATGATGGGTCAACCCCATCAAAGCTGGCATGAATGTAGGCTATATGTGGAGAAAAAACAATGCTGTAAAATTAACAGTTGTTGTGCATATCAAATTTTACAAGTGTATTTTTGGAATATTTTTGTGACAGTTTTCGCTTGGATCTAGAGAGTCTGCTATTACGCAGCATGTGGCACAGTTGCTGATTCGTGCAGATAATTTGTCCACATTGTTCGGATTTGTCTCTCATTTAGAGTGATATGGCTCGTTTCCACTGAGCGGTACGGTTCGGTACAGTACATTACAGTGCGCAATTATTTCTGTTTCCACTGTCAGAAGTTGTGAATGGTCCCAAAATAGCGAACCGTACCACTTTTTTGGTACCCTTACGTTGGGGTACCTAGCACAGTGGTTCACAACCCTGGTCCTGCAGGCACCCCAACACTGCACATTTTGCATGTCTCCTTTCTCTGACACACCAATTTCAGGTCTTGGAGTCTACTAATGAGCTGATGACCTGAATCAGGTGTGTTTGATTAAGGAGACATGCAAAATGTGCAGTGTTGGGGTGCCTCCAGGACCAGGGTTGGGAACCACTGACCTAGCACAGCAAAGGGTACCAAAACTCACTGCAGAACATGGATTCTAAGGCAGTTGAGGAACTGGTTGCGTGATACAAGGGTATAAAGCGTCCTTCCCTCGTTCCGCTTTGCTGTCCATGAGTGTTGGGCTTATTTACATCAGAGTGCGCAAACAGAAAAAAAATATAACCGTGTATTTTATATTTTCACAGACAATAGCTGTTTCTCAATATGTGTTCTTGTCTGTTCTTGTGGATTTGTGAAATGTCATTGCCCAAAACCCAGCGTAATTTTCTAAATATTACTGTTATTGTGTCATGAAATATAGTTCCCTATCGATACTTCACTCGTACTGCATCGCTAGACATTTATGGGAAAAACTCTTTTTTCTCCAAGGACTGAAGACTTATTCAATCACGCAGTGTAACTGCATGGCCATTGGTTCGTGCAGTGGTTATAAAACAAACCAATGGTTCGGCAGCGATGCTGCACGAGCCTATGACGGTGAAGCCCGCCAGAATGGGCGGGGCCGTCTGGCTATATAAGCAAGGCATTTCGCCATAGGATCTCAGAGCAATTCTCCTTCAGCGACGACGATCTTCCTTTGCTGACCTTCAGGACTTGAAGCTTGCGCCAGCCCAGATCCCGCGCGCCTCACCCCTGCCAAGCAGAGAGGATTCTCCCATTCTCTTTCAGCACGCAGACCATCGTCCCTCGGCTGATGCGAGCGACATGGTCTCGTTCAGTCCCGTAGCGAACAAGCTATTAGATGACAGCATGTCTCTAATAGCATCAGACGCGGAGGAGATGTCGGGCTCTATTGCTGCCCCCGCCCCTTCATCGTCTGCCGAGCCCAGTGACTCTAAGCCAGGGATGGATGCCGAACTTTTCCGCATCCTCTCTAAGGCAGTTGAGGAACTGGGATTGGAGTGGTCTACACCGGAGGAGTCCACTGGACGAATGGTCCCTACCGGGGCGCCGCCAGGCCCCTCGTCAGCGAGCCTCTCCATTTTTCCCGGAGGTCCATGATGAGATTACGAAGTCGTGGCGTGCTCCCTACTTGGCCCGCCTTCGCTCTAACTCTTCTTCTGCTCTCTCCTCAGTAGACGGCGCTGAAGAAAAGGGTTGCGAGAGGATGCCTCCTCTCGACGAGGCAGTGGCTGCACATTTTTGCCTGCCCACTGCCATTGGATGGAAAGCGAAGGTCGCTCACACCTCCAAACCTTGCAGGATGACTTCTGCCCTCGCTGGATGAGCGTATTCCTCCGCCGGGCAGGCCGCCTCAGCTCTACACACCATGGCTGTGCTCCAGGTCTTTCAGGTCAAACTCCTCCAGGCCCTGGATGAGTCAGGACCCGATGTCGCAGCTTTCAGGGAGCTGTGCAGCGCTACAGACCTGGCTCTAAGGGCTACCAAGGCCACAGCGCAGGCCATAGGGAGGTCAATGGCCAATCTAGTGGTGCTGGATCGCCAATTATGGCTAAACCTCACCAAGATTAAGGAGGCTGACAAGGTTCCCTTTCTCGACTCCCCGGTCTCCCCCACGGGGCTGTTTGGACCTGCCATCGAGGGATTTGCAGAGCAATTCACCGCAGTTTAGAAGTTGTCCCAGGCCATGCGACACTTCTTGCCGAAATGCTCCAGCTCTGCAACGGCCACCAGTCGCCCCAAGCCTGCTCCAGCACAGCAGACAGCTAAAGCTGTGCCGTCGCCCGCTCAGCCTGCTCAAAAGCCTGAGCCCCGACAGTGCTCCCGCTCGGCCAGACGCTATCCCTTTCCAAAGCGCCAAGGCCCCCAGCCCAGACTGAACTTGGACCCTGTCCAAGAACGTCTTCCTGAACCTCTGGAAAGGAAGAGGAAGGGGCAAAGTCTCGCAAGCACTGGACCACCCCCTCAAGCACTCCGTTCAGTTCTGGGTGCAAGTGGCAGTATGTTTGTTCCAGAAATTGTTGTGAATCACGGGCCCGTTCTAAAAGCGCCCTCACACATATCCGCATGCCCTCATGAAACAGCCGTTTAGAATGGCTACACTGAAGCAGATCCTCTCACAAATCCGCCCAGGGGACTGGTTCTTTTCACTAGATCTGAAAGATGCTTACTTTCACATCCAGATAGCCCTCCATCACAGATGATTCTTGAGATTCGCTTTCGAGGGAGTGGCTTATCAATTCACGGTCCTGCCCTTCGGGCTGTCTCTGGCTCCCCGCACATTTGCAAAGTGCATTGACGTGGCTCTTTCCCCTCTGAGACAGATGGGAATCCGTATCCTGAATTACCTCGACAACAGGCTCGTTTTAGCACAGTCGGAGGCAGAGCTAATAGCCCACAGGTCGCTCCTCCTCAGCCACTTAGAGCAACTAGGACTCAGGATCAATTTTGCCAAGAGCACTCTGTCCCCCAGTCAGCGAACTTCGTTCCTGGGGGCAGTTTTCGATTCAGTCCACATGAGGGCGATAGTCACTTCAGAATTGGAGCCTCCTACCCTCTCAAAAAGTTTCAAAAGATGTTGGGCCTCATGGCCTCTGCATCACCGGTACTTCAGTTGGGCCTGTTCAGAATGAGACCCTTTCAGTACTGGTTGAAACCTCTAATTCCGCCCCATGACCTCCTTTCTCAGGCGAACCGAACAATCTGGCACCCCCAGCCCGAGCTGTGGGCACTGCACCTATGGGCTCTCAACGGGAATCAGTAGATCTCCCAGAGAGCATCCTGAATATGATCTCAAAGGCTAGAGCCCCATCTACGAGACGCCTCTATGCCCTTAAGTGGTCGACTTTCTCCACCTGGTGCGAAACCCGTGGTGAGGACCCAATAACATGTGACATATCGGTGATATTGTCCTACTTACAAGAGCTGTTGGACCAGGTCCACTCCCCTTCCAGGCTCAAAGTCTATGTGGCAGCTATAGCAACTTCTCATGCTCCTATAGCTGGATAATCGGTGGGCCGGAACAACCTTGTTGTCTGTTTCCTGAGGGGATCCAGGAGGCTCCATCCGCCCCGGCCCCTCACGGTCCCTACATGGGATCTACCCACGGTCCTGAGAGCCCACAAAGGCTCCCCCTTTGAGCTACTCCAGTCTGCGAGCTTAAAAACACTGTCACTGAAGACCGCTCTGCTGCTGGCGCTAGCATCGGTTAAGCGAGTAGGTGACTTGCAGGGTCTCTCGGTAAGCCCTGTCTGTCTTGAGTTTGGGCCCAACGACTCCAAAGTCGTCCTAAAGCCAAGACATGGGTATGTCTCTACCTGCTACCTGTGCCACCAACCCCCATACCGGTTACTTTTAGACGAAACCTACGCTCCCTTTCCCCCTCCCATCTTTCCTCCGTTGTATCCTCCTCTCTTCCCTCACCTACCCATTTTTCATCTCTGGATGTGAATGCAGCAACTGACACTTTATGCTCTACTTTAACCTCTTGTCTAGATGATATTTGTCCTCTCTCCTCCAGGCCAGCACGGGCTGCCCCCTCGAACTCCTGGTTATCCGATGTTCTTCGTGAACATCGGACCAAACTCAGGGCAGCTGAGAGGAAATGGTGCAAGTTAGGGCACTGAGAATTTACATAGAGTAAATGTCTGCCTGACTCTTCAGGAACACTCTTGGCCCTATTACTAAGTGCTGAGGTTGTACATACGACCGTTGGAACGATTATCTGAAGGCTGGGCTGACCTCAGTGAGTTCAGCCCTCTTGCCTCCTGCAGGACTCACCGACTCGGTGTCATCACTTCAGTCTAATTGACCTGAGATTCTATGGTGAAATGCCCGCTTATATAGCCAGATGGCCCCGCCCATTCTGGTGGGATTCACCGCCATAGGCTTGTGCAGCACCGCTGCCGAGGCATTGGTTCGTTTTATAAGCACTGCACGAACCATTGGCCGTGCAGTTACACTGCGTGATTGAATAAGTCTTCTGTCCTCTGAGAAAAAGGAGTTTTTCCCATAAGCGTCTAGCAACGCAGTACTCGTTCCCGTATCTCAGGGAATCGAGGTTACGAAAGTAACCAAGTACGTTTTAAGAGTTTTTCAGGCGAGAATGTAATTGTTTAAAACTCAAATCTGTGGTTTATTTATAAAGATAGCACCTATTTGAAAATTTGCTATGCCAATTTCGGAGCTCCAGGCGATCACCGGGTGCTCAGTGCTTATGTATCTGTATAGAACAGCCTTAGCTCGGCTAGTCCTTCTGACATTTGCCGCTGGCTCTGACGTCTCTGTAGTGATTAAACACGAGATATAATTAGTTTTGGGTAGGCTATATTTAACAGGCATTCGTGGTCTCATGAATCTATTATTTATTCCTGGTCATACCGTTTTGGCTGAGCACAAAGTTATGTATATATAAACTTTATATATTTATTTTGAACTTTACCATTGTACAGTGCTGACTTTGTAGCATACGTTTGTCTGAATTGTTTGCTTTTGTTATTATTTCCTCTTATATAAGCCTCTTATACTTTGTACTTATACTTTTATAATGACTATTATTGTTCATTAAAACTGACATATTACAAAAAAAGTCAGAGTTGTGCTTATTGTCGCGCTTTATCGTCGATCGCTACTTTCCGACATACACCACACCTATCAAGAAGGGTACTATTGGCAGTGGAAACGCAAGCTGGATCAGGGTTACTCGTACCAAATCGTACTGTACTGAACTGTACCGTACTGTACCGCTCACTGGAAATGAGCCAATAGTTTCTTCTACAATAACAACATATTCTTGAGAATCAGTAAATCGTTTCTGCAAGATTCAGTGTGTGGCATACAATACAACGAAAGCACTGTGACACTCCAACCACAAATATAACTGGGAGAGAAGCTCAGCTGTTTTAGTAGCAAGCTATAGTTTACAACTAGTGGTGCAATGCAAAGATTGCTGTTTTTTAAGGTCACGTTTGTGTTATTTTACTGCAAGTGGATGTAAACAACCACACTGTCATCCTAGTGTATCGGTTCATCTAAAAAAAACTCTCTCTCTCTCTCTCTCTATATATATATATATACATCCTTTCTCATATGTAGCTTTCGGAAAGGTAGATTCATTCTGGTGAATTGGTTTGTTTGGGCAGTTCTTGTAAATTAACAAATTCCAAAAAGAAGTTTCAAGTCCATATACCTATGTGGTCTCTTTTTTTGTATCAGTATGCCTCTGTTACATAAATTAAATTAAATAAATTAGTTAGTGTTCTAATTTTTTATAATATATATTTAGTGTAAATGTATTATATGTATAAAAATGTATAGTATAACATGTATTCAATATATTTATCTTTAAGTTTTATGTTGTCATTCTAATTTGGATTATTAATTAAAAAACCCACATTGATCAAATAACTATGCTCTAAACGCATTAAAAGTGCATGCCAAGGAAATGAAAACCAAAGAATAAGAGCATGATACTAGTGATTCTTTCACAAATAACTACAAATGGGCTCACAGAGGTGATATCTTTTATTCCTTATTTTCTTTTTGCATGTATTGCAGGGTGCTGATAGCAGCCAGAAGCTGCGGGAAGCGACGGGCCTGGTGGAGAGGAAGCAGTTCTGTAGTTGGCCGTGTAAATGTGGCGTCCGGCCGCTGTGTGCCCCTGGTGTCAGCTCCATCTTGGATGGCTGCGGCTGCTGCAAAACCTGTGCACGGCAGATTGGGAAATCATGCAATGAGAGGGACGTCTGTGACCCTCACAAAAGCATGTACTGTGACTTTTCCAAAGACCAGCCACGTTATGAAGTTGGCGTCTGTGCTTGTGAGTGAGCGTTTTATGAAAACCCTAGGTGGTTGTTACAATCAACATCACAGCTTCTAAAAAATAAGAACATTTAGTTTAGAAGCTAAATTGTTTTTACAGAATACAGTGGTGTAATGAGAATCCTCACACATGATATTATATATGCAGGGAGATAGATAGATAGATAGATAGATTTTCTTTATCAGATAGAGTTTTATGTAAATTGTGGCCATATTGTACTAACTGCCTCATTTTAATTTAGTTAAGAGGATTTTTTAACCTCATGACCATATCTTAAATTAAGTTTTATTTTTTGCACGTAATAGTCAATCCTGCATATTTTTGCAGACATGATGGGGGTTGGTTGTGACCTGAATGGGGCTCACTATGATAACGGACAGGCCTTCCAACCCAGCTCATTCTACAAGTGCACTTGCATTGCTGGAGCCATCGGCTGCACTCCTGCCTTCATCCAAAAGCCGGCTGGAATGTTGAGTTCCTCTGCTCTCCAGGGCAGCTTGCCAGCAGGACTCAAGAGCAATCAAAGCCCCAAACACCAGCAGGACACCACCTACAGGACCATGTCAGGTGAATACTACCCTGTGTGAGACATATAAATAAAAAAAATAAAAATAAAAAAAGCATTCATAATGCATTACATAATTTGAATATTCTGAGATAATAATTCTCTCCATCAGGGTTTGATTAGATGGAAACATGTTAGCATTTGATTTTATTGTTAAATTTTATTTTTGACCACCCACACAGGTTTAGTTACATTAGCAGCTGCTCTCCAGGGCAGCTTGCCAGCAGGACTCAAGAGCAATCAAAACCCCAAACACCAGCAGGACACCACCTACAGGACCATGTCAGGTGAATACTACCCTGTGTGAGACATAAAAATAAAAAAAGCATTCATAATGCATTACATAATTTGAATATTCTGAGATAATAATTCTCTCCATCAGGGTTTGATTAGATGGAAACATGTTAGCATTTGATTTTATTGTTAAATTTTATTTTTGACCACCCACACAGGTTTAGTTACATTAGCAGAAACAAAAATTATTTTAGAGATGAAGAGGGTTATTACTAGGGATGTAACAATTCACTCAACTCAACTCAAAAGCAATATGATTGACGATACTGGTTTCACAATATTTTCTCACTTCTTTTTTTTTTTTTTACAAAATGAGATTTAAAGGGGTCATATGATACTATTTTAAAGATCATTATTTTGTGTATTTGGTGTAACAGAATATGTTGACATGCTTTAACATTCAAAAAACACATTATTTTTCAAATACTGTACATTATTGTAGGTCCTCTATGCAGGGGCGGATTTAGTGAATTGGGGGCCCCAGGCAAAATATAGGAATGGGGCCCTATACATTTGCACACATTTTCCTAGATCAACCTTGAGGTTCCATTTTGTTGTTTTCAGCGTAAGCCTGTATGCAAAGGCTGTCTAATTCAAAACTTTAAAATACATTTATTTTTATTTTTAGTTGTTTTAACTACCAATTTAAATAAAACTGAAAAAATAATGAAAAGGCAATTATACATTTAAACACCTAAAATACATATATCAAGAGCATGCTCACAGATGAAAACAAAACAGCGTTGGATGAAGTGGATTAAAGCCCTGCACGGGTCTCAAATATAGGCCATCTTTTTTCCCCTTTTCCCAAAAAGCTTATACTACTGTTTCAGCTTTTAAAATTTTAAATAAAACTGAAAAAATAATGAAAAGGCAATTATACATTTAAACACCTAAAATACATATATCAAGAGCATGCTCACAGATGAAAACAAAACAGCGTTGGATGAAGTGGATTAAAGCCCTGCACGGGTCTCAAATATAGGCCGTCTTTTTTCCCCTTTTCCCAAAAAAGCTTATACTACTGTTTCAGCTATTAAAATAGTTCAGTTTTGTATGTAATGGAAAAGTGATTATATTTCGTTTTGTTTTTTATAAAGTAAATTTAGAAAAACATTTGGAGTATTTTTTGTTCGTTAAATGTAAGTTTTTTTTGTTTTGTTTTTTTTAAGTAAAGGCCAGCGGCAGACTAGCCATTACCATTCAAATTGCGTAAATTGAAATTGCGAATTGAAAATGGGGACGGAATCGCGGAATGTGACGAAATGAATGGCGCAGATGTGCGTTTCGTTTGCTAGTTTGCTATTTAAGCACGCGCAATGCTCGCGGTAGTCGTCTGTAGTAGCTAAATAGTATTTTTGCCATTTAATATTCATATTCACCAGTCCATATCGCGGTTTGATTGAAGTGTACTGAATTGCATTTGATTTGTTCATTCAATATTTGACGAATTCCGTGGCATTGCTCGTACACCGTAAACTTCTGTTGTGTAGCATTTTGAATGTAAAAAAATTAAAGGGTTTGTTTAATTTTCATTGGAATAAAAGATAGATTAATGTTTTCGCCTTCATTTGATTACCAGAAAAATGAAAATACACAACACAGAATTTCTAAAAATAAGTAAATAAAATAAAAATTTCATAGGGCCCTATTAAGAAAGCGCAGAATTTGGGGCCCTAAGAATTAAATTTTTGTTAATTTTAATAGGCCTAAATTGCTGTTAAATTAAACAAGTTTCATGATTTTAATTAATTAGACATGTTTTTTGTTGAAATTTAATATAATCATCCAGAAAAGAAAAAAAACTGAATCCAGACAAATTTAAACGGAAAAATGTTTTTGGGAAAAAATTAAACTTAGGCTAATTTGGGAAAAATAAAACAGATTTATAGGGCCCAACAAATATCATGCATCTGAAGCTATAATTTTAATACCTAGCAACAGTGCATATTATATAGGGCCTATTTTAATTTTTTTTAAATGGCGCTCACTCGTTTTTCTGAAAGACCCAAGAAGGACCATGCACACTTTCCACACAGGCACACTTCATGTTTGGTTGAAATAATCCTTAAGCATGTAAATTTATAATTTCCTTCAGTTTAATTTAAATGTGCAATTAAAATAAATAAAAATAAATGTATGTTTTAAAGTTTAGAATTAGACAGCCTTGCGTTGTGTAGACAATTGCATAGTGAAAATTACCCCAACGCACCCCCTAGTGTCCAACCTACTCTAATACTATTATAACCTGTTTAAATGTGAACAAGGGATTTACAACATTAAAGAAATCCTTTATTTATAACATGTACATGAAAAATCTAAAAGATTAGACACAACTATGGGACACGGTCGTGCAGCAGCGAGCAACAGTGAAAGGAACCTCAAGGTTGTAAATGTGTGAAATTGTATAGGGCCCCATTCCTGTATTTTGCCTGGGGCCCCCAAATCATTAAATCCGCCCTGGCTCTGATACGGTCACTGAAGCTGATTACGGCCACTCAATTCTTGTGTTTATGTTTTTATATAGTCTATGGTTTATTCCAGCCGCGCCACGCACGTTTCTGAAGCGGCTCTCTTTGCTGCTTCTGTAAAGATACACGCATAAGCCTCCTTTGAATAAATATAGCCAAAATCTGTCAAAATCCGTTGCCATGACTTATCGCGAGAGGCAAAAGGTTACGTTTCAGCCGCATAACCTTGGTTAATGGAAACGGCGTCATTTCGCAATACTTTTTTATCGACATTCAGAAAATATCGCCAAAGTTTTCCGCAAATCTGTAATGGAAACGCACCTAGTAAGTTGATCATAGCCCGTTTGATCAATTTAGCCTTCTCAAATCATAAGGACTTGCCTAAAATAAAATCTATATATAAAATAGTTCAAGTATATCACAATGTTAGTTTAAATGTTTAACCTATATAAATGTGCGCTGTTAGGCCAATAGTTTGTGTGGAGAGTGGAAGCTGAAGCGCGCTCTGCAGGACACGGAGGCGCCAGCGGGATCACTTGCATTTTTTCTAACGATGCAGACCTCCATTCTTCTTCAGCACTAGTTTTGAATGTAAAATCTGGACTTCGTTCTTGAAGGAGGCACTTTCTCTATGGCTCTTTTTTGCAAAAGGGAGAGGATTTCTAAAAACCAGGCTTTCCCTCCTTCCGCAGGTCAGGATCGGCCA